CAGAGTTTCCTTTGGCACAATAATCTCCATCTCGTTTTACTGCACACTATAGAAACATATAATCAATTTAGGGCATTTAACAACTCAAGCAAAAGTGTATATTTCTATTTCTGTGCCGTTGGATACACAGTTTATGTTTCCGTCAGTAACGAGCAGAGCTGAGGGCTTTATTCTTAAACCATAATACACTCATGATGGTCAGGTGGTGATTGTTCAGGTTTGACAGGAGTCAAAATTATGTGTGCAACGGTTTTTCAAATGACAGCAGATTTATGAATGTACTAGCCTCTATTTGCTGCTTTAGCTGCATGCCAGCACTAAGAAATCCAGAGAAACACTGATAACAAGTTGATGATGTATACCCAATCTTAGAGGAACCAGAAAAAAGTAAAGAAAATAATCTGGGGAAGGGGCAGCAAAGCAGGAAATTAGTAGAAAAACAAGAGCCGGCAGATCCCGGTTTCCTGTTTTGGGGGGAGTAGGTTTGGGGCCTGTGTTACAGAGCCCCTATTGTGAGCAAGTGTGTTGAGAAGTCTGGAGGTGGGGTCTGCGAGGCCAAACACAGGGACGATTTTGCCCAGTACCGAATCCCCTTACCCCACCTGCCCCTCCCTAAAGGGGAAAGCTAGCTAGTAAAAAAAAAAAGGCGAAAAAGGAAACTGTAAAAATAAACGAGCAAGGGCCTCCGTGCTACAGACGCCAACCAGACAGGAAATGACACGCAGCACAAAAATGGTCTCCACTGACCTCTGTCAGGAACCGAGGTGCCTGTTTTCCCTGCATACTTTTTCTCCACCATAGGTCCAATCCTTCAACATATTTGTTTATCTTGTCAGGGAATTGCCTAATGGTTTGCTACAAGAAATAAATACAGATTAAGTATAAATAATGGCTCTCTGCTGCCATGTCTTTCCTTTAAAACAAATTCCAAGAACAGGAAATTCTTGATTCCAGTCTGGCGATAATGAGTGGCCATTCCCTAGCTTCGGTCATTTTCCCAGCTCCCTGCGGGGCCGGGGCCTAAACAATGTCAGTGGAGCACTCCAGTCCCCATGGCTGTGCTCCTGATAATGGAGCACTCCACGTCTGAGCGCTTTACAAACCATGTCTTCATTATTACCCTCTCGATGCCCTACAAGCACGTCGGTCCTCTCCAGGCTGCTCATCCCATATCCCCACAGAGAACAAATTACTCTTCAGAACGACAGAGGACCAGCCCTATTGATCGGGAGGAGTTTAGGGGAGGGGGGGGGGGAATGTCAGTCGCTGGTGTTAGTCCCAGCGGCTGCAGACAATGGCCTCTTCTGCGCTAAAGTCTGTCACAACCCCATCACACAGGCCACATGTGGAGAAGTGGATAAATCACTGCACCCCGAGATTACAAAGCTACATTCTAAAAGGAATAATAACCTGTCAACACCAACCATGTAGCTCCTTCTGAAGATAATGAAAAAGTGACGTCTACAAGTTGCAACTTTCAACCTTTTTAACTCTGATATGTTCATGCTCAGCAAGCGTGAGGCTTTGAAGTATTTCTTCTGTCTCCGCTATTATCCTCTTGCTCGGTGACAGATGTTGTCATCAGTGTGGAGGCCACTGAGCTGTGAAGTTGTTGTCAGGGAGGGCTCTGTCTACTCCAGAGGGCACACAGACAAGTCATCGCCTGAGAATGAGCTACTGGACTGTAGGTTGGAAATAAAGTTGGAAATAAATCTTTGGGAGTGGGCGAGTGGCGCAGAGTTTGCCTGGATTAGGGTGTGGGGCGAAGCACTTGGCGTGTGATTCAAGTCCTGTTGACTGTGGTGAGCTCCTCAACATTCCCCAGCTTGGTGATAAGAGAGTGTATCAGAAGTAGTGGACTGCTGATACTCCTCCGGCCATACACACACTGCGCTGTAACCTCTCATGCCGCGGACACAGGAGAAGACTTCAGGAAATGCTTAGGTTTGAAGTGTGATTCAAACCTAAAAGTGTGTGATCACTTGTTTTTCTATTGCTAGATGAGTGCTGTTTTTCACACTGGGTAACATGTTTGTCTCCAGAAAGCTTGAGGTGCTTAAACACTATCATGTCATCTGCCTCTCAGTTCGTTTTATTGGCTGAAAATCTCTACTACTCAGTTAGGGTCATGCATTTTGCTTTAGGTTACTGTAAATATCCAAAAAGAGAATGTAAACCAATGCAAGGCAAGGCATGTGTGTATAGCCCCCTTCAACACAAGGCAATTCAAAGTGCTTTACTAACTCATTTAAACATAAAGGGCATTAAGAAATAGTAGCCTACAACAAATTCACATTATAAAATTTGATTTAAAAAAAGTCCTTAAATAGCGAAGAGAATACAATAAACATAAAACAAGCTAATATAGCGTAATACAGGTATAAAATACAACAATACAAATTACAGTGCAGTGTGTAAGATATTCATATGTATTTGATTTAACTGAAAACAGCGGCAAACAGAAAAGTCTTCAGCCTGCATTATGCAACGTCTCCAATGCAAGGTCTCCTAAGGACAGCAACAGCAATGCAGGTGTGTGTGTGTATGCTTGTGCACATACTGTTCTGTTCTGTCTGTTTAGAAACACAACACATGTTTACAATTATTTTCCATCAACTTACCATGTACTGGTTGATGCTGTGTGATTATAGCCTTGATTTTGTAAGGTAATTTATATGTACTTTAGATCTACTTTGATCTGAATCAAATCTTGAATTACAATCATGCTGTACCATTATTAAGAGTTTAGGGGCCTAACGTGAAGACAGTTACCCTAAAGGAGGCCAAACATGTAGCCTACATTACCCACAATTCAACGCCATCACCAACACTTTGATTGGAGATGTGGGTGTTATGCGGTAGCGGCTAATCTAGCCTTCGATGAGATAAAGGTAGTCAGTCTTGAAATCTGGTCAAGGATTCTTTAAATTAAAAAGTCACAATTGTTTATAAAATTACAAGAGTACAGAAAAATGTCCAACTGTTTTGGACGTGATGCAGTTGATCATAAATGCACTTATTTTAGAGTGGATTAAGCAGTGTTAAATATAAGGTATCACCATGTCGGCAGATCATTTAAAAAAAGGAAAACATTCCTTTTGAACACTAGAAGCAGATTTTAATCATTTGAAGACACAAGGCGTGTGTGTATGAGTGTGAAGAGGACAGACAGGGAGGGAGCGACGGTCATCAGAGAGGAAATAGTGGGTAGTGCCTCGTCTTTCAGCGCCGCACTAATGAGTCCCGGGACACACAGATTGGAAACAGCAGTATTGTTCTCAGGTCCTCAAACTCTATTCAGCTCTTAACACACAGAAACACGTTTACATGTACAGAGATTACAGGCTCACACACACACACACACACACACACACACACACACACACACACACACACACACACACACACACACACACACTCACACTCACACTCACACTCACACACACATACATACTGCCGTTTGATTTGATTAGTGAAATTCAAACAGTAAGCCGGTTTTGTTTTTTGTATTCCTAAAATAGAAATTAAAACGTCTACACCTTTTTGTGAAGTTGTTGCAAAGTGACAAGCTGGCATGCACTCAAAGAGCTGGGCTGTCTGCTCTCAGACATACACAACAGACCTCAGCCTTTTGGTCCGGTGCCAGATCTTTGCTCCATCATTATAACCTGTCTAGCATCCATAATCCAGATATGAGCTATGGCTGAGCGAGAGCGTGGACCAACAGCAAAGCCCCTGATCTCTGACTCTGTCCCAGCCATACCACACTGTCTGCTTCTTTACTGGAAGTCATTTTCTAAAACAATTTTCCTGCCCTAGTTTGATCAAAATAGCTCATCTCTTGGAAAGAGGACAAGACAATGGTTAAGAGATGCCTGAGGTTGTACATGGTGTGAGGCAGCGTGGTTCGAGAACAGCGCTGACAGATCATTTTGGTGAGAAAAAAGGACCAGAAAGTCCCCTGAGGTCTTGCCTACCACAGTGGTAGTAGTGATTTAGACAAAAATGCAGCCGCAGCATTGATGCTTTTGAGCCACTGGAAGAAAACCCTCTTCTGTGACCAGTCCGATGGGAGCAGGCATTTTTCATGCTGCAGCAACAAGGATCGCTTTCCAGCCCACATCGACCACGTCCTGCCGATTACCATCCATATCCTACCTCCTAGATATTCCTAACTTGCCAATAAAAACATCCAGGATTCAAAATGTAAATGATAGGACGAGCACCTGGCTGAACAGAGGGCAGGAAACATGAGTGGATAGTAATCAGATCTAGAAAGGTAGATTACGAAATGAATGTTTGTGTTTGCAATGACTAACACTAAAATGTGAAGAGTTGTTGTGAAACAAGCTGAAAATTGACTTACACTTTTATATTCCACATATTTTATTTAGTTGAGTATCTGCATCTGGCTAGCTTCAATCCCAGGGGGCAGACGGGATAATATTTCCTATCTGTTTGCAGAGGTTCCCTGCTGTGTCCCACTGGAGGAGCCAAGTTTAGGAAATGTGTCTTCACTCTTCAAGTTAAAGAAGCCTCCTTTCGACATCTTGGTGTTGAAGCAATAGTTCAACATTTTTGGATATTTGTTTATTTGGTTTCTTGCTGAGAGTTAGCTGAGAGGATCGATGTCAATGTCCATTAAGTATGAAGCTGCAGGCTGTTAGCATGAAGCTCTGTTCAAAGGTGGCCAATAGGAGAATTATTGTTTTTACATTAAGTCTTTTAATGGATTAAAGAACAAACACAAAGTGACAGGTTAATATTGAGCTTTAGAGGTGCTGGTCGGCAGGTTTGGTTTCCAGTCTTTGTACTTAACTCAGCTTCTGCCTCCAGTTACAAGATAACCATACATATACAGTATGGGTTTAAATATTGTCATTTAACTCCCAAAAAAGTGTTGCTACTGTATCCAAATGTATAACTATTTGTAGAGACATTTCAAAATCATCCCTTTAGGCTATGCATTTTCTTATACCCCTTATGCTTTCTCTCCTCAGGGACCTCAAGCACAACTTGATCAGCACCATCACGCCCGGAGCCTTCCTGGGCCTGTTCGAGCTCCGCAAACTGTGAGTAGACGTCATCAGGAAGTGAACATACTGTATGAACCGAAATCATAGACACAGGGATGGGAATGGCATGAGACAAATGAAGGAAGCAGGGTCGTTTTTTGTTGTTGAATGAGCAGCATTTACAGAAGAAAATGGCTCACATATCGCCTCGTATATACTGTTTAGGCAGCTCATGGCAGATAACATGGGTTATATTGAGCTCCTGGTGTCAGTGGGACAAAAAAGGCCTCCTTCAACAAGTGTTTTTGCTGATCCTTGTGGGGGCCCTGCATTCTCATCTCTGGTTCCTACCTCCACCACCGTGGAAACCTCAGGGCCAGGCAGAGGTTTCTCACACGTCAGTGAAGCGACTGTTTGCGTCTTTGGACACCGAGCTCTGGTTTTGGCGTGGGTCGTTCTTGGTCGTCTGTGCTGCACCGCGTGACTCCCCTTCCCTCCTCCCCCTACTTGTGTTTTCCCTGCAAGGTCTGGGGCTTCTCAAAACAAACAGGGGGAGATAAACACATGCTCTGGACAGCTCTCTGCTGGGTAGTGTCAGAGGTGCAACAGAGCAGATCCCTCTCTGGCTGTGGCTATACATCACACTCAGAGGTGGACAGCAGAACAGGGGCCCCGCTTTCACCCCATCACTGATAAACTCTAACTGGGGTCCCATGGAGTGGAGATAAGGGAAAGTGGCAAGGACTGAGGGCATGATTGTTTAGATGTTAACATTTCTAACTAAGCTTTCTATTAGAGGGAAATAACTTTGTATTTTAAAACAAGAGCAGAATGGTAGTGTTGCACAGTTTTACCGGAAGGAGTTTGTGTAGTGTTTGATCTGATATCATAAAAACAACATGCAAAAGAGACAAGATATCACAATCTGTTGAGTCCTCCTGATTTAAAATTAACAAAATTCCTTTGTCTTTTCACATTTCTAGCGACCTATCCAACAACCGAATTGGCTGCCTGACTGCAGAGATGTTCCAGGGTTTGACCAATCTCACCAAACTGTAAGAGTTAAACTGATACCATAAACAATACAAATCTGCATTGTTGGAAAGCCATGGAATTAACTTGTTTATATATTTTTTGTACTGATAGGAACCTCTCTGGCAACATCATATCGACTTTAGATCCAGGAGTGTTTCAGGAGCTGCCGTCCCTCAAGCAAGTGTGAGTATTAGAGGGCAGTGGCACTATACTACAATAAATCCACTCTCACAGAAAACAATCTTTTATCTGAATAGAATCATAAATAACGTAGAAACAATTTTGTTTATTTAATATATATTTTAACTCAAGCCTGTTGAAAACTCATAAAAGCATACAAGCAATGATCATTTGTTTCGCTTGTATTTATTTAGGTTAGGATATTTTCTCATACAATTATTTGTAGACGTTTGAACCAAGGCAAAAATAAATTAGGAGATGTATCAGATTTGAAACATTTCCGATTTGAGCAAACATGTTCTTGATTTTAATACACCAAACTGCTATTTATTGCATCAAACAGTCAATTTATCTCAGGGTAAAAACAACACATCTGTCATATATTACAGATATATAGTGTTATATTAGTGAGAATTTGGTGTCACTTAACAAATAATGGTATACATGTGGATCCTATAAAGAGCAACGACACATAACACTGGAGCCAGGTGGAGTGAAAAGTAGAATAAATGACCGTCACTTCTCTCTACAGAAACTTTAACTCAGACTACCTGTTCTGTGACTGCGGGTTACGCTGGGTCCCGGGATTCTTCCGCAGCAGTTCAGCCCGGTTGGGGGACGAGACCCTGTGTGCCTACCCAAGGAGCCTGAAGGGAAAGCCCCTGCGTGGACTGAGGGAAAGCCAGCTGAGCTGTGGTGAGCGCCCAGCGTGAATAAGGCAGTTCACCACTTTGTTACAGAGAACATTGGCTTGTGTTTTTTAATGACAGCACGCTCATAACAACCGTTTAAGATCGTTCGTGTATTTTTAAGATTTAGTGCGCCAAAAAGGGGTTAAAAGAGATCAATCCCAGCAGCTCAGCAGGAACTTATTTCTAAAACTATCAGTGAGCCGTGTTGACAACTAATCCTGTGGGTTTCATTTATGAATTGCTGCTGCCTGCATCCAATCTTCCCCAGAAAAGCAGACTCATAACAGCTTCTGTGGAAACATTTAGATGAGGTTGAGTAATGAGAGAGCAGCAGAAGTCATTCAGAGTGATGTGTAATGGCGGCGTCTTTTCCCACCATGTTGCTCAGACGGTCCTCTGGAGCTGCACACCCTCTCGCTGCTGCCGTCCCAGCGCCAGGTGGTCTTTAAAGGCGACCGGCTGCCCTTCCACTGCACCGCCACCTTAGTGGACAAGATCACCACCTTGCACTGGCGTCACAACGGTCAGCTGGTGACCTCTGACCCCGAGATGGGCGTCCAGCTGGAGGACAGTGAGCTGCATGACTGCACCTTCATCACCAGGTACAGAAATCTATGAAATGATTGCATGATTAAAACCACTCACCTTGTGCAAAGTCATCTGATGTAGAATAATGTTTTTTGTAGTGCTGCACACTTAAGAACATGTGGTGATAATTTGTTATAATTAGCGGTCTCTATTCTCTCTATCCAGTGAGCTTATCCTATTCAACGTACATGTGGAGGCCAGGGGAGAGTGGGAGTGTGTGGTTTCCACCGGGCGGGGCAACTCGTCTCGCACTGTGGAAATAGTGGTGCTGGAGAACAGTGCCTCCTTCTGTCCAGAGGATAAACTTGTCAACAACCGTGGGGAGTTCAGGTTAGTAAGAGATCCAAGGATTATTAATACATACCTAAAGAAACAGCCGTCTCACCCTGCTCTGGTTTTTAATCCCCAGGTGGCCCAGAACTCTGGCGGGCATCACTTCACATCAGTACTGCCTGCAGCTGCGTTACTCCTCCCTGCCTATGGAGGGAGGTATCGAGGAGAAGAAAGCCTCTCGATACTGTGACCGCTCTGGAAACTGGCAGGAGGGTGACTATTCAGAGTGCCATTACACCAATGGCATCACCCGCGTCCTGCATACCTTCATCCTGGTCAGTAGCTTAACATCAATACATGGTTCCTGTTCAGTAAGTGCCATGTAGACTTGTTTCAAAACGTCATACCTTGCCCTGTTTTTGCCTCACAGATGCCCATCAATGCGTCCAACGCGGTCACTGTGGCACATCAGGTGCGCACTTACACCATGGAGACTTCAGGCTTCACTGACTCTGTGGATGTGTTGTATGTGGCGCAAATTATGGAGAAGTTTATGGAATATGTCAGACAGCTGCGAGAGGTAAGATTTGATTCTATATGTATCTACATACAGTATTTAGGTATGTTGTGTTTAATCCCAAAGTAACTGTCCTTTAGCTGTAAAATATTTGTGTTTTGGTTCCAGCTGTCAGAGGTGTTGGTGGAGATGGGCAGTAACCTGATGCAGGTGGACAGCCAGATCCTCGCTCTGGCCCAGAGAGAGAAGAGAGCCTGCAGCTCCATCGTCTCCTCTCTGGAGACGCTGGCCTGGCCTCAGCTGCATGGCCACGCTCAGGACTTCTCCATGGTAGGGACTATCAACCGAAGTGTAACTTTTATCATAACCTTTTTATCAGAGCATGTTATAAGCTGAATATATCCTGAAAATATATGTGGGGTTCCCGAATTGACCAAGTGTTAACTGGTGCCTGGAGAGGTGGCTGACCCTGACACTGCTTCCCAAGAGGTGTTTAGTAGCAGCTTTTCTCTAACATAAGGAATGGTCAAACACAGAGTCAAAATGTTTATGCTGTGAATGTGCAACAATGAAAGCAAGTTTAATGTGAGTCCTACATTCCCATTATATTGTGACAACAGGAAATTACATGTATGTGTAGTTATTAAAATCTGGGAGTTTAGTGTAAAATTGCTACTATGGTGCATATGTTTATATTTTCACAATGATTTAGCCTCTTACACAAAATGTCCTATGTTCAGAAACATTAAAGCAAAATGTAAACCCTATCAATGATCTGAATGGCTGATGAACACATGACAAAACATGAACACATTCTTTACCCTCTATATTTTGATGCATGCAGGTGTCTAAGAACATCGTAATGGAGGCCCACTTCATTAGACCGGCCCACTTCACTGGCATCACCTGCACCGCGTACCAGCGTCGGGAGGTTTCTACAGGCAGCCTGGGAATGGAAACCTCAGAATCCACTCATGAGCAGCAGCTTCGTTTCCGCTGCAGCACCGGCTCCCACAACACCTCCCTCAACCATTTCCCACTAAAGGTAAGCTTGAAGACCCCTTATCTTGGATGCTATTAGTAAATACTGTGCTATATTGTATCTGCAATCAAAGTCATCAAGTCGCCCTGGTGGATTCTAACATAAATACAAAATGTGTTTGCTTCCACAGAATTCAGTAGCCCTGGCCTCCGTGACGCTCCCGGCTACTTTGTTTCCTCCCGATGCTCCTGCAGACTGTAAGCTTCAATTTGTAGCCTTCAGAACTGGCAGCTTTTTCCCACTGTTTGGGAACTCAAGCAACGCCGGGCAAAACTTTCGTCGCCGTAGCGTCAACACTCCAGTCATCTTTGTTGGCCTAGGTGAGAAACCCTCTCAGCCTATTTTGTGAAACCACTTTTGTTTTCTCATATTCAAAACATTGCTCCTAAAACTACTGCTGGATAGACTTTCTGAGACTTTTTTTGTTTTACGATCTTGCGGATGGCCTTGTGGGATATGACATCATGTTAAAATATTTTAAGCTCTGCAACACTGTAGCATTATCCATACAAAAAAAAGGCGGTCTGTGGCATCAGTAATTGGGTCTTGGGGTCAAACAAACACACAGCAGTTAGTTTTGATTTTCAACTATTTCAATCTACAGAAAAATCCATTGAAGAAGCAGAAAGCCATTTCTCTATCATCCAGTATGTGCTAGTTTATTCCATTATTGTGACTGATGGAATTTACTTTATCTGAGCACCCACGCCTGACGCATTACAGCACTTTTCGTTGTTCATTTGTTGTTCAACCTTGACAATCTTTGCAATCATTTTAGCTATTTCCACCTAACAAACACATTAGGACCCAGTTTGTATAGGATGTTGAGAGATGTCCTTCAAATGGAATAAACTCTTGAAGCAATGTAAAAGTATCCGTGACTCAATTTCACTACAATTTCCGCTCCTTTGCTTCAGACGGCTGCAGCATGTGGAACCACTCGGAGCCCATCTGGGTGTCTCTGCGTCACTTGTCCCCTGGTTCTGATGCTGTGGCGGCCCAGTGGAGCCTGAAGGGTCTGGAGAAACAGGGGGCCTGGAGCCAGGAGGGCTGTCAGCTGGTCCACAGTGACAGCAGCACCTCCACCCTGCGCTGCTCGCTGCTCAGCAACTATGCTGTGCTGCAGGTAGCTTGATTTTCATCATCCATTACGGGTTATTATTTTTTTTCTGAATGAGTGGGGGTTTGAACTTTATTTTACTTTAAGCATTTCAAAACACAATCAATTTCTTCCAAATAAACAAAAACATGAATAAATTAATACAAAAGTTAAAAAATACAATACACATAATTTCCCTCCTGACTCATACTTACGAAACAAACAAACATCCCCTCCCACCTTGCCACCCACCCACCGCCCCCTTTTAACATACACACACTCAATCCCACACACACAGACTCACAGACATTTGACAGACTTTCTTAAAATGGGACTAAGTGTTGTTTGGATGCTGGGAGATGTTGTGGCTCCACTCCATCTACAAAGCTTCATACATTGTTCTCCATATGATATGAAATCGTTTTCCCTTATTTCTTTCATTTACATTTTTTGTTTAAATTAGTAATAATCCTGGATTATCAAGGTTCAATGAAATGTACATTTGTGTGGGATTTTTCTCCAGGAGGTGCCTGACTTCCCCAACTCCAACCCCATCTCTGTGAGGGTGCTCCACCCTGTGGTGTACGCCTGCACTGCACTGCTCCTCCTTTGCCTCTTCACCATCATCATCACACACATACTACACCACAGGTAATAATAATAATAATAATAATAATAATACCTTTAATTGTTATAGCGCTTTTCCCAGTGCTCAGAGACGCTTAATGTATATATGCATTGTATGTGCATGAACACACTTCTCACTTCTTTTAGTTATTGGCTTCTTATTAAATAATTGTTACGTTTGCCCATACAGTTCAATTCACATTTCCAGAAAAAGCTGGCACACATTACTGAATACCTGCTTCCACATAGCCATGACGACAGCCATCTACGTTGGAGGCATAAGTCTGACCAGCTACCCAGTGGTTTGTCAAGCAGTAAGTGATGCATTTAAATTCTCCTCATTTTGATTAATGGTGTGGAGGCTTGGTGTCTTACCTGAGTGTAACGTGTGACAGGTGGGCATCGCCCTGCACTACTCCTCCCTCTCCACCCTGCTGTGGATCGGAGTCAGTGCCCGGGTCATCTACAAAGAGACGTTGTGGCGAACGCCCCGACAGCCAGAGGGAGAGCCTCCAACTCCGCCTACTCAGCGACCCATGCTCAGGTCAGTGAGCAGCCAACAACTCAATGTCACCCACTTCCTGTACTGTTTGATTGTTGCTGTCAATACGGTTTATCTTTTAGACAGAGTTTGTATGCATGGCCACCCAGACTGTCCCCCATCAAAGTGGGTCATTGTGCCCAACAACTAAAGTCCCTCTGTGTTTGATGTCCCTTGGCGGGACATAACAGAGTCTTGCTGTAAAAGCTATAAGTCTTTATGAGTGGGGGAGGGTAGGAAAGTATGAAACCAACGAAACAGAAGCAGCGGAGGTCGTCATAAATCTGCGCAGGGTGATTCAGGGGGTGCACTGTCTTTCAAAATATTCCCTTCTTTTTGTCCTTCCACCCCTGCCCCTGTGATCAAGAAGCTGCAATCATACTCTGACCCCGCTGACCCCCCCCCCCCCCCCCGTTACTCCTTTGTTGCCCACTCAGCCACATGGGAACAGGCTGCATTAAATCACAGACTTCTGGAGCCTATGCTGACCCTTGTAAAGCTCTGCCCACTATGGGAGTGATGGATCACACAGCTCCGTTTAAATTATAGACAGCCAGAGAATCATTGGAGGAAAATGACACCAACATGTGCAATTTAAAAACATCGTAGCAGCCAAAGGTCAAACAGCATCCTGTGGCACAAACAAACACTGCTTTAGATTTCTGAAACTGCGGCTAGGAACTTGTGTTTTAAATGCTTTTTCTCTATTATTCAAGGTTCTATTTGATAGCTGGTGGAGTTCCTCTTATCATCTGCGGGATCACTGCAGCTGTCAATGTCAACAACTACGGTGACAACAGCCCTTAGTGAGTTCTTTTCTTTTATCCTTGCTCCATTTGGCTCTTGACTTTGTGTTGTTTTGTTTGGTGCTGAAGTGAATAATTCTGTGTGAAACGTTGAACACACAGACGTGTCCTTGTTTTGCGCTGACCTTCCTGACTCCTCTTTCTGCTTCTTGCAGCTGCTGGCTGCTGTGGCGCCCCAGTCTTGGCTCTTTCTTTGTCCCCGCTGGGCTAGTGCTTTTGGTGACCTGGATCTATTTCCTGTGCACTGTGTTTCGCCTGAGGCACCGCGTGGCCAAAGAATGCACAGGAACCACCCTGTCCTCTCCTGAAGCGGAGAGCCAGCCTGCCCTGGCAGGAAGCTCCAGCCTTCTCTCCACAGACTCAGCAGGGGTTCCTGTAAATGCTGTTGTAGTGCCAGAGGATCAGTACTCGCTGAAGACACAGTTCTTGGTGCTGGTGGCGACCCACTTCCTGTTTGTGGTTCTGTGGTGTTGTGGAGCCATGGCAATGTGGCTGACAGGGCACATCAGCTTGTTGTTTAGCTGTCTCTATGGGATGGCTGCCACAGTTCTCGGGGTGTTCCTGGTGGTTCACCACTGCTTCAGACGTCGGGATGTGCAGGCCTCATGGCTGGCATGTTGCCCAGGTAACCGACACTCCAACCCTGTTTCTACCTACCCGCACACCTGCACCACAGGGAGTGGGGTGCAGACCTCCGAGCAGGAATCACAACTTTTCATCAGCTGCCATCCACCTGGTGACTCTCATAACTCCTCTTCAGCTCGATCATCATCCACACCGAGTGGAATCAGCAGCGTGGGCCCCGGGCCCTGCAAGCTCACCAACCTGTTACAGGTGGCACAAGACAATCCCAACAATTCCACACGTGCCCCTGCAGGCAACAACCACAGCATCAGTACTGACAACACCACCAAGCCAACAAACAATGTCCTGCCCATCATTAACTCTTCAGCGCCAGTGCATCCCCAGAGAAGGAAAGTGAGCAGCAGAACTAAACAAGGAAGCAGTCAGTATCACCATCGAGGTGAGAGCAGGGGTCACTATCGTCTCAAAGCTCTAAGGACTGCGGGAGGCGGGGGCAGCCTGGGAGCTTTAGGGCCCAACGGTTTAGATCACCTCAGTTCTTCACACGTGGTTCACAAACAGGCCACGAGTGAGAATGGCAGCATCCACCTCAGCATGTCAGAGAACCAGGCGAGCCCGCTTACCAATGGGAAGCGCGTGGGAGAGTCTTTAGCGACCAGCCCCTCAGAAGGAAGCGACGGGGGCAGCAGCGGGAGTCGCAAACCCTTCCCTCTGCTGCCGTCTGTGGCCAGCAGGGCGGCCATGCACAGTGCTCAGAGACGATGCGCCAGCAGAGACAATTTGAAACTTGCTGCCGCTGTGGAGCGAGACACTAAGCGCTGCTCCTACCCTTTGAACAGTGTCACCACCACCGTGCCTGGTGCCGCCGCCCCAAACGGCACCCTCAAAAACTTAGTGCTGGAGCTAGAGCACGACATGAGTGGCACGGACCAATCTCAGAGCTCCGTCGGAATGAAAAGTGGTTTGTGGAAAAGTGAAACCACAGTGTAACCTATACTTACATGTGAACTTCTATGCATGACCTTAATGGACTCTCAAATGATTGGGTTATGTTTTAATGGTCTCTTGATTATAATAATTATATAATTTAAGGTATAAAATCATGAAGGCATCCAGGACCCTAAACTGGTAGTACTTTTTCCTCAGTAGCATTCTAACAGTTCACTGTGAAATGGTAAAAAATAATAAGGCAGGTTTTTTTATTATCAGTTTCAACTCATTCATTTTATTCATTTCACAAAAAAAAGTACAAGATATATCTGAAATGGGCATATAATGTTGATTTTGGATGTCGAATGAAAGCTTTAGTGTTTTGTAATTGTGATTTTTTTTCTATGCATATCCTCTATAGCATGAAATGGAAAGCAAGGCAGTCCATTTCCAAAGTTCAGCTTTATGCATTTAATATTTGGACAACCCTTCACCCTTATGTTTGCTTCAAGTATTTTATTGCTTGTGATCATGTATGTTTTGTGTGTGTGTGTGTGTGTGTGTGTGTGTGTGTGTGTGTGTGTGTGTGTGTGTGTGTGTGTGTGTGTGTGTGTGTGTGTGTGTGTGTGTGTGTGTGTGTGTGTATTCATACAGAAGAAGCGTAATTCCATGAACGTGGCTGTACAGAATCTTTGAATGAATTAAAGAAGCTATGCGAGACTTTTGAACATATGATAAAAGTGTTTTATTTCTATGTTTCTGTCAGATCTCTTACACAACTTCCCTTGTTTAGTATTCAGAAAGAAATAAGAAACAATTGACTCACACACTCCACTAGTCATTTAAATGTATGAATGACTGCCCCCTATTGGGAGGCAGAGAAACTTTGAATGTTCTTCAGGGATCTAAAATGTATTGTCCTTGCAGATCACGCAATTATTGCAGGTTCTGCAATGATAAATGTATCCAAGACATGATAACCTATCAGTTATCCTAGACACAATGATTGTAATGAGGTTAGTTTTGAAACGTTTGTTAAAGGGGTTTCTACAAAAATATGTTTCAGGTATATAGGGCGTGACTATCAGAATCAGAATACCTTTATTTGTCCCACAGAGGGGACATTTACATTTGTTACAGCAGAAAAGAGCCAAAGACAGCTTAATGTTAACTAAGAAGCATGCATACAAAAATATTAAAGATAAAAAAAATTAAACATCACTGCAAGCAGATCTTTTTTATTTTATTCAATGATAATGTTGCCTTCACATTTCAGTAGACCTAGAAAAGCCTTAGCCATACTTCTGCATTTTAGTCAATTTGAGTAACTTCTAATTCAGGAAATTACACTGACAGGAAATAGTGTTTCCTTATGCCGCTCATTGTCAATGCTTTCCCCATTGTATTTATGGAGGAAGTCTCAACGAAACCCAGATTATCACATATGTTTACAGTCTGTTTGTTGTTCTTATATCCTGTTTGCAGTTTCAACTTTGTGATCAGCACCTAGCAGGATGTATTCAGGATGTAATATATCTCATGGAAAACCAATGTAAACATTAACACTGTCTTGGTCATGATTCAATAAAGATTTCAGTGCCTCCATCGAGGTCGTCAGGTAAGTCATGCATCTGATGTTAATAGTGTTGTAGGGTGTGTGCAAACTAAATGTTTATTTAAACATCATAAGACGTAAAAAAATATATATAAGATTTTGCATGGATGTTTTTCTAATGTTTTGCCAAAATGCCTGCTATACAGTGGCGGACTGGCCATCGGGACGTTCAGGACGAATCCCGTTGGGCCGGTACCGAAGTGGGCCGGTCGGATAAGTCACTAGCAAGTTTTGGACACTGAAATGCCAGTGAGAGGTAAAAGAGGATGTGATGAAAAGAAATCTGGTTCTGAATGACTTTTAGAGGTTCACATCTAGGCCATGTAAAATAATATCATCAGTAGGCCTACTTTTAACAGTTCTTGAGAAAAAAAATTATTTGCCTATTATAATTTAATTTCCTGCTTTGACAGTCTATATATTACTTAAACAAAGGGAGAATTTTCAATTAAATAATTTTACTTTCAAGAAACATCAGACCCAATCCCTGGACATTTATATCTAAACTAAATAAGACAGCTCTACTGAAGTCAGATCAGTTCTATTTGTAGTCTTATTCAATTCGTATATGGCTTTAGCGAAGGTAAACTGATTCCTGATCAGTGGCTGACTCATGCTAACGGTACGCGACGTCACCACACCCTCTGCGTGCTGTCCAATCACTGCCCGATTTAAACAAACTTGATAGAAAAACTAACCAATTAGGAGGCAGCATGAAGAGTAAGGGCGGAATCTAATAACATCAGGGAAGTGTTTTACGTAGCTGAGGCAAAACAAGGAAATTGTTTTTGATGAAAAGCTCATAAAGGAATTAGCCGCACCGCAGTAATGTCCTTTCTGTGGTATTAGTACCAATGTAAAGTTGGTTAACCGAGTGTTATTCGAGACTTTATCGCTACGAAGAGGAGGGCGAATAATTACGACATCAACCTGAGCTTCCTGAAGTTAAGCTAGGTAACCTAAACCAACAGAAGGAGAAACACGGAGTTCAGGGAAAGGTTAACGAACAGTTTGGCGTGGTAATATATCTAATAACTCGGATTAACGAGACTTCCACGATGTCTCTGGCCGACCAGAGCCAGACTTGGTTCCCTACGAGTGTGCAGGTAACGGTGCACCAGGCTCGGAACCTGCGTCCAAAGGGCAAGAATGGCACCAACGACGCCTATGCCATCATGCAGGTGGCCAAAGACAAGTTTTCTACATCGGTGTCGGAGAAATGCATCGCCCCGGTGTGGAAAGAAGAGGCTTCCTTCGACCTGCCACTCTTCCACCCGGGAAACGCTGACCGGTGCACGCTGCATATCATCGTAATGCACCGGGCCCAGGTGGGGCTCGACAAGTTCCTGGGTCAGGCTGTGGTCAACCTGCTGAACCTCCATGACAACAAGTCCAGCAAAAAGACAGAGTAAGTGACTACTGAGAGGCTGGGAGGTCATTGTGGTGCTTCCCCTGGGTGTGTTGTTTGTTGTAGTTATGAGTTCCTCTTATTTCTCTTTTCTAAATCCAGGTTAAAACTGTATTCGAGTTTATTAAAAGTGCTTCATCAGGCCCAGAAAGTTTGAAACTGCATACACTTCTTTCAAACTTAAAGTTAACCTCATTTAAAGACCTAACATTGTTTTTTGTGGCTAACACCTGCCTGGTCATGATTTTTTATTAACATTGTAATCCAAAATATGATAAATATCACAACTTCTTAACTACAAACAGTGGCCAAATATTGGTATTTATTACGCTACCCGAGATATTTAATCCATCTTTGACTTCACATCATCGAAAACAGAATCAGATTTTTGTAAGTTAACTGTCTCTTTATTAATGAATTGATAATTAGTCAATAATGTAAGAGGATTCCTTAATTTGCGAGTATGCATAAACTGTCAAACCGAACCAATCCTTCAGTTAAATTTAAAAGTTTTTTTCCATTTCGTCATGTCATGTTTAGTTTCAGAGACAAGTAGAGACCATCAGGAATATATTCTGTTACCAGGTCAAAAACTGAAACGAGACACCATCTATTAACCTTTGAACGTAAACAATGTAATATAATACCTCTCTATCCCTCCTCTTATCAGTGTCCGAGAGGACAAACAGAAAACTATAAAGATGGCAGGATAACAGTCCAAAGATATCTTATCTCAGTTTTCTCCTCTGTCTTCTTTCTCTCTAACATTTCTCTGTGACCTTTCCTTCATACATTGGTGTGAATTCAACTCTAGCAGCTTACTGGCATCTCACATTGCTTCTGTTAACATAGGACATTCTTCAGGGCCATTAACTAGTTTAAAAATACGTCTGCTCACACCCCGATGCGTTGCATGACTCAGGATGACATCTGTGTTTGACGTAGCATGGGTGTAACGTGGATGGAAATAAAACATTGAGTTGTTGTTAAATGAGATATCCACACCCTGATGTATGATGCATTTTTAAAATAAAGAACGTTCAGTATAAACACTGACTTCCAAATGTGGCTTGTAATTTGAAGTGACCAGAGGGAGATTGAGGGTGTTAGTTTTCCAGTATCACTCAACTAAGTGCAGCTTTGATACAGCGCTACTTTGACCTCACTCACTGGGTTATTGCACCTGAGTGTTATCTTGTGCACTGTACGTTTTTCCGTTTGAATGGCAAAGTTCACTCCTTCTCAGGTCTGGTCTCCTTCCCTCTCTCTGCTGGTCTCGCTCCCTCCGTCTCCTTTCAGATCCATTATGCAGGGTATTGGAGGTTGCTGTTTGTGCCTCGAAGCCCGCGGTGTTAGATTACTGTCCTGCTGATACAGGGAGTGACATTGAGGACTTTGTTTGCCTCTGAAAGGAAGCTCTGACGCTGTTGTTACACAATATCGTGTTTTCAAATATTTATTTCAGCGATAGGATTGTACATTATGCTTTTGTATGAATGGAAGTCATTGAATGTCACAAATTATAAGAAAAATAACACGATAACTTGTGTTGATAACCTGTAACACGAGTTTACAGGTTTTTGATATTAAAGATTTTCTTTAGATTATTTCCTTAAATAATAATAATGACACTGACTTGACTTTGACTTAAACAATTATTCTCATGTACGCAACTTATGATTCATTGTATTATTGATCAATCAAGCTTACTTCTAAAATCATTCTGTGTTTTGTTGGTTTATAAAATGTCAGGAAAATCATGAACGATTACAATATTTAACAAAAAGCTGCATCATCTCAAAATGTACAGCCTGATAAATAAATCCGGGTTTTTGGATAGTCCATCCAGTGTTTCCCACAGAAAGGCCCCTTAACCTATTCGGGTGGCCCACGCATCCACCCCCCCCTCAAATAACAACATGCATGCAAGTTCATGGCTACTGTAGCAGACAGCGTTCTTGTTGCTCTGTGTTGCGTTGTTAACGAGTGAGACACACCAGAGTTCAGGATCTGTGGGGTTTATTCTCCCAAAAATATCATTTACAACAAAAACATTTTTTTATGAGATCTATTTGTGGCGAACGATATTTAATTACGGTGTCCCGCCACAAATGAATCGATGTATGGGAAACACTTATCAAAATAGATTGTATGACAATAAATGCATTGTTTCGGGTTCAAATACTGAGTCACGTTATGAGACGATCATTGCAGAAAAGTCGGGACAACCTTTTGTTCAGACACCTGAGCCACTATATTTATTTTGTAAACAAAGAGCAGAGCAGTGGAACTAAATCAACATCTCCCATCTTGACATATACATATATATATTTGTATTGTTTTCACCCATTCATGAGAATAACCTTAAAAGAAATGAAGCAATATGTGATCTCATGAACTTCCCTGCAGTGGTTTATGATAATCCTTTCCTGCTGATCCGACACATGTAACTGCATTTCAAAAGTTTGTAGTGAGTGTTAAACTAATATTATGGAGAGGAATCACCTTAACCGCAACTTTGTTTGCTGAACGCATTCTGTAGTCCTCTCGTGGTATAAACTCAGTCTCTCCTGTTAATCATTAGACATGAAAAGAGAAGTGCCCTTCAGTTAACCGAGGGAACCTGTCCAGCAGGACCGGTTAGATTAGGCACAACACTTTTATTTATGTGCAATCAAAACATGTACACCCTGTTAATAACCGTAAAGGTTATGCATTGTCTCTGCTCTGGTGCATTCCCTGCTGTAACCGACGCAGACTAGAACAACCGGACGTCTTTTATATGTCCTGAGAAAGGGCTCTGTCTCTGGGCCCTGACTTAGTTAGACATTATTTAACTTGGCATGCTTGCTTTAGTGTGGGAGATGAGAGATGTCTGTGGCTCAGTTTGACTTTCATTACATCACGTACTGCACGGCACCTTCATGCATGTTTGGAAGTGTTTGAGGAATGTTGGTTCCCTCCCATGCTTGTTTCCTGACTGTTCAACTTCAAAGAGCCTGTCTTGATGTCTGCTTCTCTCCATGTCACTAAAATGACATTCTGCAGAAGTAACCTCCATATGAACTGAAGATAACGGTTAATGCCACTGCTGGTTTTGTATTTAAACGTTTGAAATAGGTCTCAGTTAATCTCTTTTTAAAGTAGGGTTGAGCCATAATAAGGCCCTCGTTATATTTCAACAATTGCTCAGGAAGAGGAAACCACCCAGTGACCTTTTACAGTTACAGTTGATAATGTGCATTTCCAAATACTGATTTCATAACTCTCCACACGCACAACAGACTTGATACTCACTCAGCTGTGGATCACTTTTCATTGCTTTGACACAAAATGCATTTTATGACCAGATGTTTTCACTCAAACTCAACCCCCACCAAATCTGTGTGTATTTACAATCCATGTTTACATCCTATTGTACAAATGGTTAAATGCATTAAGAGAACCTTAACACCACACTAGTACTACTTATTTATCTGCATTTTGCTACATCGACAGAGAAATCGAGTAAAATGAAAATGCTTCAACAATGATTAGGACATATAACACTTTGACATTTTGTAAGACAATGCTGCACTTCATTATTCTCTACTTGTGGTTCACTGCAGAAGCTCCCCACATCTCAACCCTATAGAGGAGTTGTTTTCCTTTATTGAAGTGGAAAGTTCATGACCACCAGCCACATAATCAGAAACCCCTCTGATACGGTTCTGAATTATGGATGTCTGGACATATCTGCAGAAGGTTGCCAGGGATTTGTCAGGCCTGCTTAGAGGTTTTACAAGAGGTGTGATGTTGATGCCAAGTTGTGGCCAAAGTATTGCTCTATTTCTACATCTGTGGCCGTCCTCTGTAAGAATTAGTAACTTCCGGTTTATTCATGTATACAACTGGCAGACAAAGCTCCCTAAAGCATGTTGCAGCATTTCTGACATTCTACTTGGTAGCAATGTCCATGGAATAAAGAAGTGACCTTTTGTGTTGTAGTGGAATCATGATTCTTGAGAAATGTATACAGGGGGTCCGCGGGGTCTTAAAGAGTATTACAAGTTGATAAATCAATTTAGCGAAAATGAAGGCTATTACAAAGTATTAAACGGCATTTTCCAAGGTATTACATTTTGTAGCTTGTTTTGAATAAGTATATAAATGGTCCAAAGAGGTTGTATTCTACAGTCTGCCTGAATGTAATCATTGCGTAGGTGTGTAGTGTGATTCTGTGTAGTTTATTTATGGCATCCCGTTGGATTTGACGTCATCTGAACAGGACATCGCACGCTCACTGCTTGATAGCGCGAAGGTCCGTTTACGCCGGTTGCTAAACAACATCGTTATGGGGAAATGCAAGTCTGCGTCCAAATGGTTGGAAGATAAGGAGGAAGGACAATCAATACTGCATATAGTCAATGTGAGGTAAAGTGTGTCACCAATGTAACCGGTTAAAACTCAAAGTGGCGATGAGGTCTCAAAAAGTATGGAAAGGGTCTTAAAAGGTATTCAATCTGACTTCAGGATTCCTGCATATACCCTGCTATAAAAGAGGCTACAAAGACAACCGTGATGCTTCCTATTGTTAGTGTTTATGGTTGCAGTAGTTTTGAACGTTCGAACTGTTGTGCTGAGCTGCATGTCATTAAAGAGGNCAGTGGCGTTTTCTCCCGGAGGCCAAGGGAAGCCAGGCTTCCCCTGTTTTTTCGGATTGTAGTTATAATTTAAATAAATAAATAAAAACACTTTGTTTTGTTTCGATAATTCTCCTTTGCTGTGTGTTGCTGCCGGCCCGTCTCTCCCCCATTCTCATTGAGTATTTTACAAAGAGTGAAACAAACAGCGCCCCTCTAGATGTTATGGTGAAACAGTAGATTGCATTCACTGTTGCGAGAGGAGGCCAGCCGAATCTGGCTTTCCTTGGTGAAAAAAAATGGAGGGATTGACCAATCAGATGAGGCCCACGTGATGCCCCTGCCAACCTGTAATTGGTCAGGGCCATGCCAAGGGAAGCCAGCTGCCTCTTGCTTCCCTTCAGAGGCGGCTGGCAGCTGGCGATTTGATTGGACACTGCCATCCAATCACCATCAACATCAGTTTTAATACTGTAACTGTCATCAACGCCGTTAGAAATTATCAACCAAATTAAGCATTATGGAGGGTGGAGATTTGGCGTACTTAATCAAACATAACTTTACTAAACTTCCGCTACAGCAGCAACTAAAAATTAAATCAGATGACAGGCCAATGCCCGCACTCGAGCTGTGTACACAGAGGAAAAAGGGAGCGAATCGGNCCTCCATTGACCAAGCAATACGAAGATCCAGCTCCACAAACAATGTACGACAAAAAACAAAACACTATCCAAGCACAGACATCCACAAAGAAGGTAACACCGGCAGCAAAAAACACCACAAGACACAGCTTCAGTCCAGAAACCTGTTCCACAACACACACTTAAACACAAAAGCACACATCTCATTCTCACAAAAGCAAACGGTCACAACAAACGGCCATCGCACAAACCGCTGTCATGGCCACTTAACGTTTGCTCATGTCAAAGGGGCAGTGACACAGGCGCGCAGTCCCAACAGAAAACAACTCGTAACTTGCTTGAATACTCCAAAAGTGCCAGGCGAATTGCAAAACATGGTCGGTCCGGTTAGACAACTTAAAAACAAAATAGCATTTCAAAGATCCCAAAGAAGAAAAAATACACCTAAATTGTATTTTTGGAAATAAAATGAAACAACACAAACAAAAAGTAGGGCTACTCAATTAATCGTATTCAAATCGCCAATTACCGGAGGTTGGCTATGCAACAATGACAATTACCCGGAACAAAAACAAAAGTAATCAGAAATAAAACGATTTATTTATCTTAATCTTATTATTCATTCCAACATTTTGTTTCTATGTGGTCTTTGTTTTTAATTGGTTTTCAGTTTCAGTTGAATTATACTTAAAGTTCAGGGTAATCAACTGTTAAAAACATATTGTTAAAATAGTTTTTCTCCAATAAAATGATGTTTTCAAAGTAAATGGATAATCGTTTTTAATAATCGTGATATCAATTATTGACCCAAATAATCGAGATTATGATTTTTGCCATAATCGAGCAGCCCTAACAAAAAGAGGAAGGTATGTGCAGTTACCCCTGCAGGCCTACTGATGGCATTCCGGTCATGCAAGTAAAAGGATAGGATGACTACAGGCATATAATGTCATTCTTAGGGTCATGACACGTAAACATAAGTACATGACATTAGTGCAGAGTAAATGGAGGAGAAGGCCTACCTGGGTTTGACTGCAGACACTTTTGCGGAGCGGTTGAGGAAGGTCATGGCAGAGGGGCCTTGTGGGGTGCGGCTGGATTTCTGAGGATCAGCTGGGCTTCCATTAAGTGCTTGATCTGGACTGAGGGAAATGTCCTCAAAGGGGTTGCCGGAGCGATGGGAGGTCGGTTGCTCGGGATCTTCTGAGATGCTGCGAGGGGATTTTGTTGGAAGCTCTTCTTTAGTTTGTGGCTCTTCCTTCTTCTCCTCCTTCTTTCTGATCATCCCGAACAGAGACGACAGGCGGTCGCTCATGGATGCGTCCTCCTGACGTTTCTGCTCTTCGGCTTTGCGACGCTCGTCTTCGAGCTTCTGTACTTCAGCTGCTTCCTCTTGCTGCTTCCTCTCGTCGTCCTCCTTCCTCTTCGCTTCATCCTCGAGGAAGCGTCTCTTCCTCTCCTGTTCCTCTTGCACTCTGACATCCTCTTCCTCCTTCAGTCTCTTGAGCTGTATCTTGTATTTCTCCTCTTCCACCAGCCTCTTGGCCTCTGCTATGCGCCTCTCCTCTGCTTGCCTTCTCCCCTCCTCCTCCTGGTGGCGTTGTTGCTCCAGGCTTGCCTTCTGGTCTGACTCTTGCTTGTAGGAGGGGACACTTACAAAGGCATCTACAGGGACTTCCGTGGTGTGTTTGCTGACATCCTCTACAGATCCCTGTCCTGAGCTGTTTAGACTGAGAGTGGATCCACTCTTGGGCTCTTCGTCCTCGGCGTACACATGGTTGCCGTTGATGCACGTGCTGTTTATGTCACTGTTGCTGTGCTTGTGGCGACCCAGGAGGGAGAAAGCACCCTGAGACACCTTGCTGTCGGAGCTGCCTGTCCGCTTGTGTCCCAGGAATTTGAATTTCCTTTTGACTGTGGGAGGGAGACAAGAAAACATGGTCCTTATTGACATGCAAAACATTGTTTAACTTGCAGTGTGCAGGACGGGAAAGAATGTCAACATAGAGTATGGCAAAAAATCATAATCTCGATTATTTGGGTCAATAATTGATATCATGATTATCACGGTGGGGAGGGGGGTGGTCAATAACGTCACCAGATGAGTGATTACAGCGCCCGGTATCATTTTACACACATTTGTATCACACAGATGCAGGACTTGCACACGCCTGTTATCTAACCGACAGGTCCGCACGCACTCTCCAGCTGAAACTCTCATCTTATTAATTTAAGCATTTGACTTATTAATGTATGCAGACAACTTGTTCATTGTGCTTCTTTGTGCTAATGGTTCTTGCTAAATCCAGAGCCTCGTCAATCCTGACAATTTCACAGCACAATCTGTGATTTTTGGATTTACCGTGCCTCTCAATTGCCCGTGACAGGTTGGCAAGGTCGATGAATCCTGAAGTTGCCCAAGGATTGTTCAGGGAGCACGAATCCTTGTCAAAAAGAAGACATGGCCAGCAAAATAGACGCTGAAGTTTAGCGCTTCTAGTTAGCCACTCCGTGCGTACATGATTGTCCTCATTGAACGTCCGATTCGCTCCCTTTTTCCTCTGTGTACACAGCTCGAGTGCGGGCATTGGCCTGTTATCTGATNAGCTGCATGATACTGACGGGCTGTCAGGAGAGGAGGAGAGCGCTCCGTTTATTATTCCCGTGTTATTATAAGTTACTGAACACTTTTGAATAATGTAGTTAATCAACTACATTATTCAAAAGTGTTCAGTAACTTATAATAACACGGGAATAATAAACGGAGCGCTCTCCTCCTCTCCTGACAGCCCGTCAGTATCATGCAGCTCACGGATCAGAGTGACCCGACAGTGAAACTAAACATATCTATAACTAGTTACGGTAGTTTGAGAGGTCATTCAAATAGCTACGTGTGATATTCTAACCTGAAGTGTGTGTTTTGTCCGCTCACTGCTGCATGTGATCATGCAGCAGAGCGTGTCGACTCGTCAGCAGCAGCTGATCTCTCTCTCCCGTCAGATTAGACTTCACTCTCGTTTATGTCCATATCGATCAGATCCAGCTAGTTCTAGCTCATGATATGACTACCATTATACCATCTCTTGTTTTGTGTAAGCAACAGAAGTGTGTGTGTGTGTGTGTGTCTGTGTGTGTGTGTGTGTGTGTGTGTGTGTGTGTGTGTGTGTGTGTGTGTGACTGCAGCACACTGTATGCAGCCATGTAGAACATTGCATGGGCCGAAGCATGCAGTATAAATTCAAGTGCTCTGCAGCGCGCTCCATTTACAAGAATACATTAGATACCATCTCAATAGCAAATGTCAAACAAATTTCCCTTCAGTTCTTTGTCCTTTCGATTAAACATGAGCTCCGCTTGAGCTAACGTTGTGCTGAGACAGTTTTTTTTCCCCATGAATTTCAATAGTATGATAATGAAATCTCCAATCTCATCAGTCGTGGATATTTCCTTCCTTTCTTCCTATCTGGTGGCCCGAGTGAAGCGCTGCTATTAAGGAGGAGTTAGTAAGGGAGATGCACTTTGATATGAAATATTGATAACCAGGATATATACTTGAATTGAAACAAAGTGCTCGCAGACAGAGAACACTGAGGAAGAGAGAGGGGAGGTTTCAGTCTGCAGACGTTAAAATAAAAGCTTATTATGAGGTACAGAAAGCACACTGGCTTTGGTTCTCTCTCCACAATATTTCACAGAATGCTTCAAGGCCACACACTGAGCTACAATCAATAGTCCCTAAATAATTTCCTAACTCTATTTATTTGATGTATGTTTCGATCCGGACTTCCATCAATACTGCTGTCAAATCAAATGATGTTGTATTTGGCGATGTTGGCTCCCCCCCTCTTCTCTTTTAGTCGAGGTAAAAGTTTAATGTGTCCTCTCTGCATCAGTACAGTAACACACAGCTGTTAGTATGTTCAGTTAGGGCTGCTCGATTATGGCAAAAATCATAATCTCGATTATTTGGGTCAATAATTGATATCACGATTATTACAAATGATTATCCATTTACTTTGAAAACATCCATTTATTGGAGAAAAACTATTTGAACAGTATGTTTTTAACAGTTGATTACCCTGAACTTTAAGTATAACTCAACTGAAAAACCAATAAAAAACCAATAATACATAAAAAATATGTTTTATTTCAATTACTTTGTTTTCGTAATTGTTGCAAGCCACAATCGTAATTGCGATTTGAAATACGATTAATTGAGTAGCCCTACTTTTTGTTGGAACGTGCATTTTATTTTACAAAAAACAATAGGTTTATTTTTTCTTCTTTGGCATCTTTTGAAAATGCTATTTAGGAAGAAAAAGTTTTCAGTCATTACGACACCATGTTTGTCAGCGCTGAAACTTGGATATTTCACAAGTTTACGAGTTGTTTCTGTTGACTGCGCCTTGTCACTGCCTTGAATGACCAAAACGTTAAGTGCCATGAAGCGGTTGATGGACCAGTTGGACCAGTTTGCTCTTGGTTGAGATGAGAATCTGGGAGTGGCTTGTGTTTAAGGGTTTTGTGGAACAGGTTCTGGACTGAGCAGAGCTCTCAGGAGTCACTATGCTGCCGTGTTACCTTCTTTGTGGATGTCTTGTGTGATAGTTCTTTTATTTTCCTACATTGTTTGTGGACTGGATCTTTTATTCTTGAGTCATGAGGGTAAGGGACTTATGTTTGCTATTGTAATTGATGTTACGGAAGTAAAAAAATGTTGCTAGATTGTAGATAACCTAGGCCTTTCAAGTTGTTTGTGTTATTAAGTTGTAATTTCTATTGTGCAACATTTGATGCCGTGTTTGAATACCTTGTATAACTTCAGTGGGATAGTCTTTAAGTAAAAATGTAACATCGTAGTATTATTAATGGGCTGTTAACATTTCTCATTGAGCAAGTCAAAGCTAAAAATAGAAACTGCAAGACACAGAAACTAGATGTTCAGTCTGTGAAATGATTTATTTATCTTTACTGGCAGCTTTGTCTCGTGCAGATTTAAGATAAGGAGATGCGAAGTGTACTGGCTGCATTTTGTAGGTTGTGAAATGCTAGTTGGGTTGGTGACGGGTTTTACATTGGTGAAATTACTTTAGGTAATGTGATGGTCAAACTGACCTGTAGGCCTTTTGCTTTCACTCCTTGGCAGATTTACTCCATCTCTAGAGTCTGAACCTGCCGATTGCCAAACCCCCAGTCAGCTGTGTCCTTCCCCAGAAACCTCTGACACCAGCCTCTCTAGTGTCCAGCCTGAGTCTCCTGACACGTTCTCCAGTCTCCACTCATCCTTGGCTCCACCGAACATAAGCCAAAGCCCGTCCGGTTCTCCTCTGGGCAGCGTAGAGGATTTGTCTTCTGTTGGATCTTCACCAACCATGGCAGATAAGAAAAGAAGGGCCCCTGGGACCCCCTCGTACTCAGGACATGGGAGCCTTAATGGTGGAAATACCGCTCCTGTCAGAGAGATCACAAACCCTGCATACGAAGAGGCGGAGAGACCTCAGCAAGGTGGAAAAGTATCCATACCACTTCCTGATTATGAAAGCCTATTCCCTCAGAAGAGACACGGAGTGCAAGGGCACACTCGATGGGACCATCTGATCGCTGAGGTCAATCAGAAACACAGGGACAGTTCAGAGATGAGTGTGGATGGTCCGGAAGAGCAGCGACCCAGTGTAAAGGCTTCAGTCCCTCAGGAGAGCGCTGCAAGTAGGTATTTTCAATCCCGATCTCAGGACATCAAATCTATTTCATCAAAAAAAGCAGCAGCCCCAGCTCCCCCTAAATCAAGTGCACCTCCACAACCTCGATCAGTTGCAGATTCTCCTCAAAGACAGAGTCAGAGTACCGCTCAGCAATATCCCACGAGGCACAATCTGCCTGCAGTCCCAGAACCTGTGAGCACAAACAGAGAAAGTCCCTCAGGGATGTCCAGGGATGGACCAAGGAAGGCGTTGCACCCATCAACTGCTGCAACACATGCACCCAGGCCAACCAGCCAAATGGACTCGCACGCACCATTAAACGATCAAAGACAAGTTGGTGTGGACAAAGAGATCCCCACAGCCAAACCCAGACAGAGGGCTAGTGGAAGAGACTCCGTGCTGCAAGAAGATTCTGCTGCGACACCAGTGGTCTCAGACAAACATTTGAAGAGTAACCTTCAAACATCATCTCGTTCTAGTATGAGCAACGTGGATACAAAAGGCAGGCAAGCAAAGGAGAACTTGGACTTTGACCCATTCCCTATTACTGATCTTATTTCCAAAGACCCGTGGGCTCCGCCAAAGGGACACCAAAAAGAAGACCTTTTTACCGGCAGTGTTCAAAAAGAGCCCAAAGTTGAAGATTCGGGAATGACACCAGACGATCTTGATTCAATCTTTGGTCAAGAGAAACTTTCCGATCCATTTGCTGACTTTAACGGCAGTGGTTCAAACAAACACAGTGAGGTCATTGAACAAGTAGAAGATCCAAAGCAAGTCAATCCTGCTTTCCAGAGAAATAATTCGAACAGAGTAAGACGAACCCCTCCGTCCACCACTCTCTCTGCTGATAGGTCTTCAAAGTCTCGACAAGAACCCGCATTTAAAGAAGAAACCACCGTAACCACAGCGAACAAAGCCCCCTCTGCGAGAGGCGTCAGGATCGAGTCTATCACACCGACGCCTTCAGCTGAAGCTAATACACAAAACACATTTTATGGAGGAGAAGAGCAATTTGGAGCTGAACCGTTTGCCTCGGTGTTGAATACCTCAGAACCCCTCCAGGTGGTTATGGAGGAGCCGTCGTCTCAGGAAGTGGATTTGTCTGGGGGGAAGGCACCTTTGAGAGCTTGGGTCTCCCCATCTGATGTTCAGTCGGTCAGTGCTCAGAATAGCAATGGAAGTGGGCTAGCTTTAACTCCACGCAGGTGAGATTCAAAAGGATGATTTAAAAGAATACAATTGTGGACTTTTTATCTGGATGACATCTGGCTGTTGTTTGGGGAGGCGGATAGGGTGTTGGGATTTACCTTGGGTGATTTTGAAAGCTTGTGATTTCTAGGTCCTTATTTTTCTTCTGAATATTGCTCTTGGATGACAGTGGGATTTTTTGGAATCATATGTTTCATCTTTTTGTATCCATCTTTTTTTCCTTTGAAGTTTTTGTGGATATTGTTGAACTTACTCACAATAATCGATGTGCTTTCTTTACAGGCCTCATCCTGTGAAACCTATGAACTTGGAGAGCCAGCAACCCATCAGCATCCCCGCTGTGAGAGATATAAATATCCGTGACAGCACACCAGGGAAGACTCAGGTACTGTTTTGTTGATATCCTGATAGATAGAAAGATTCTTGATTGTCCCTTCTTTTGAAACCACATTATGAACTGGAAACAAAACCAGCAAAACATTTATTATTTAATAAATAATTATTACAAATAATTATTCTCAGCAAGTTGATTGGATTTTCTGAAGAAGGAATTCCCGGACACATTTCATAATCGCTCTTTTCATTTTCTAACATCATTTACATTACACACATTTACAAGTCAAACCCATTTTTTGGAAAATATAACTGGCAGCTTCAAATGTGATGTTTTTGACATGTGAAATCTTCTAATGCTCAACTTTGAAGACATTTGTGACCTTGGAAATAGCAGTTTGGCAATTTCCACTTGCCTTATTTATTCACTCAGCAGATGGAATTTGTTCAGAGTTGTTACAATATCTCCATCTTTGAAGGAAGGTCATAAGATGTGGGTGGAAGCTTTGACAAAATAAGAGAACTTTTCTGAAGGGAAAAGCCATTAAAGTAAATGTTTGAATGTTTTTAAGTGGGGTTGGAGTAGGTACTTATCCAAAGTCCATGCATTTACCTACAGCAGATGGCCTTCAGCACGCCCCTGGTTTAAAGAAACAGACAGGAGTAATACGTGGACATTGAGCAATGTTCTTGGTGTTGACAGAGGCAGCAGCAAAACATATTTCAGTAACTTAAAGGAAAAGCTAACCTAAAAAATCAGTTAAAGTCTTTACTTTATTTAGAATATTTTCTTGCTTTACCTTGCCGCCCCCATAGCCTTTTCAGTCAGGGTACGGAAACCACTGTATACGGTTTTGCTAAAACCACCAAAGTCATTTGACAAAAAAAGTACTTCAACTCGCATAACATTGGAGTTGCAGGTCTGCTGCTTCCTCTATTGGTCAGCTTGTTCGCTACAGTTTGAATTGTTTGATACAGATTTAGCCAAAGCCCGGCCATGACACAGACAAAAAAAACGGCAGAGCAGCAAAATTAAGCTTTGTTCAGTTTCTAAAATGTTCTTATGTAATGGAATTTGGTGAATTGGAAGAAAGCATATATTGACGGGTGAAATGGAAATGTTCTTAAAATAGCATACACTTTATGGACCTTTGTAATGACTTTAGCTGCCCCTGTCCACAGCAGAGCATTGCTTTACTTCTGTGCCAGTAAGACGTTTTTTCTCCAAACTTGGGGTGTGCCTGATTTCCTGCATTCTACCAATCTTCAAACAATCTTCAAAGAGTCCTCTAATAGTTCAAAATGCACACGAATATAACCAATCAATACTTTTTCCTCAGAATGCATCACCTGTATTCACTTCTCCTCGTTCCCCCTCAGGTGGCGTCCTCGGTGCAGAGTGGGCCGTACACCCAGCTGACGCAGGATGAGCTGATCACGTTGGTGGTGAGGCAGCAGACCGACCTGTCCCGAAAGGACTCGAAGATCGTTGAGCTGGAAGAGTACATCGACGTCCTGCTGGTCCGCGTCATAGAGGAGAAACCCAGCATCCTGCAGTCCCTCACGAAACCAGTGTAAGGTCCCAGCTGCTGGAGGAGAAGGGAGTCCCCCTTAAGGGCACAGGCATGTTGCTTCTGTTTGTCACTGTGAGACACAATCTCTACAAAGGTCTTATTATAAGCATGTGCACTTTCTTATTTCAGAGCTAATGTCCATTTCAAATGGCCTCCAAAGATATATTTGGTGATCATTTAATAACAATCAAATTAAGTTCTTTATATGAGCAGAATGTTTTGACACTAAGGTACTGGAATTTGCTTTTAAAATGTGTTACATAAATTACTATTAAGCATTTCGATTTATATACCATACTTTATAAAGCTTGGGTTTATTTAATATATAATTGATAAAAAACAATTATTTTTTCAATATTATCTTGCTTTTTTTACTCTTTACCATGAACCTTTGTGTAACTTATTGCCGTGCGATGAACGATCATTTACATAAACAACCATTCCAAATTGATGCACCATCATTGTGTAAGCATAATATTACTTTTGTATTAATTAAGATCTAATGAGCCGATTTAAAATTAAGATCATTTATATTCCAAGGGTTCATTGACTTTGCCCTCCATTACTGAGGTCTTGTATTTCTTTTGTTGATTATCTTTGGCTTGCATGTGTTTTTTTAACTACCTAAATACTCCCACTTTTAACTCACCACAGTTGAATGTCATCAGATCATCAAGTCCTTAATAACAAAATGTGCCTATTTTTGCTTTAAAACGGGCATATTAAGAAAACAGCAATACAAAAGTGTGTGTGTGTGTGTGTGTGTGTGTGTGTGTGTGTGTGTGTGTGTGTGTGTGTGTGTGTGTGTGTGTGTGTGTGTGTGTGTGTGTGTGTGTGTGTGTGTGTGTGTGTGACCTGATTTCCTCCAACATGCAGACGAGATAAAGAGAGAGAGCGCCCTCACCTGGTGGGTCATCACGTTATGACCAGTGTAAAGACTTAAAGATACAATCTGAAGTCCAAGGCTCCTCCAAATGTGCAACACAGCATAGCAAAACGATTAAATAAATAGTGCACTAACATTATGGTGCCAGAATAAGCAAACAATATTTACAAGTAAAATACAATATGATAAGATGTGTGTGTGGGTGTTTCTAAGGTCAGATATCCTAACTGTCAACATGATAATGTTTGTTTAATTCATGTGTATTTTTAAAACACTTTCAGAGATGTTAACCAGGTTTTATTTATATTAAAAAGGTGTTTCAAAATGCTGTTTGTTGTTAGCTGCTTCAACCCTTATGTTGTGTTCGGGTCTCCCGTTTCAAGTTAATGATATAATAACTACGCTCTAGTTTTTTGAATCGGAACGAGGCTTCATGATATCCTCCACAACAGATATATAAACACTACAAAACTGATTTTGACCATTTTAGCCAAGTCTGAAGGTTTAAAAAAAAAAAGTGTATCATGTGGTGTTGGGGTCTGGGGGGATATGTGTGGTGGCAATGATATGTACGATATATGTGATGACAATATGTGTGTGTCAATATAGGTACAGATCATTGTGTGCATATGGTGTGCATATAACTATTGTACAATAATGATGACAAGTATGTGTGTGGCAATATATGTACCATTAATATGTGTGGGCACATATATGTGTTGCACAATCACACAATATATGTGTGGCAGATAGTGTGTGGCACTCCACTATGTACACATTATGTGTGACCAATATGTGTGTGCGCAATAAATGCATTATATGTGTGGCAAATAAGTGTGGCGCATATAGGTAAATATTGTGTGGCAATTGTGTGTGGACAATAAATGGAGTGTTACATGAATATGTGTAGACAAATATGCTTATGTGGCGGACGCAGGACGACCGAAAAGTAGAAAGGACGTTTCCCCGGCGGATTATAGGTTCCCGCGGAATACGGAGGCGAGGCAGACAATCGGAACTCGTGATGTAATGTCATGTCCACATTCGAGTGTGCCGCCCGTTGATCTCAGTAAAAGGGAGCAGCTCGAGTGAAAAAATCATTGAAGACAAAGTACTTGACTAAAGATACAAAATCCAACACCCCACACACCTTTCAAGGGGACTACCCTCTCGAGGAGCGCACACTCCTCGTAAGTGCCTCTTTCCGGGAGGACTGACCTCCTAATTTATTAATTATACCTACATAACTTCAAGAATTCGCTCTCGAGCCACACACACACACCACGCGGCCACACAGCCCGTCCGCCACCACACACGACGCACACACACGACACACACACACACAGCCCCGCCCCCACGCCCACCCACACCCAGCACGCCCAGCACCGCGCCCGCCAACGCGACGCCGGGCCCGCGCCCGCACCACACACAAACACACACGACACACACACACACACACACCACACACACACACAACACACACACACACACCACTAGGAGACGGGACGGCGGCGGCCGCGCACCGCTGAGTCGGCGGGGAGCGCCGCCCCGGCCCAAGATAACTCCGCTATGTCTCTAAGTAGTATATAAAAGTTGTTGTTGTAAAGACTCGTTACGGTTGGTTTCTCATTTAGATTCCTCTTACATATTAAAAATCCGTCAAAGTCGTTACTGTTTACACAGTCATTTTACGAAGATAAAAATGTAAACTGGTAAAGAATATTAGCCTGGTGAACACGGTTGTCACCTTTACAATGAACTAAATAAAGTCTATTGAAAACTCCGCAATGCACAATATGACTATTCCGAGTCCCGCGCCGCTGCTGCGCACCTCCGCGCCCTAAGCCTGTCTTTTTTCTTCCCAGATTTTTTATACTTGTGAACGATTTACTACTCGTGTAAAAATCCGATTATTTTTTATCTTTTCATTCTTATTCATTACGTTTTTATTCAATAAATACGACGAATTGCGAACACACCACACGTCTCACCAATGGCAGTACCCCAAGCGCCATAAACGGGTACTTAAATAGAGTCGTTGTCCCTGAGTGGTTAGATCCAAAAATTTGATGTAGTATTGATTGAAATACGACGTAATATTGCTATGTAGACAACGAATAAATGCAATACCGGGTTTTTGGCAAATGTGGTGTATAACGTGGCACGTACACCACACGTCCAAGTTCACATCAAAAGACACTCTTTCCACCTCAAGGGCCACCCCCCTTGCCCGTCTCCATCCCCCTGGTCCAACGTACAACGCTTTGCTAATACAATGTCACCTACTTCCCCCACCTCCCAGATTCCGTTCTACTTAAACTAACCCGGTTCAACGGGCTCAGGGGCTTTGT